CGCAGCAACTTATGGTCTCTTTCCCACATTAGGATTTTATCCAAAATATTTACTCCCTAAGTTTAATGGCGTAAAAATATATAGCCTAAAGCGTGACGTAAGTGTAGGGCTCTTTATTAATTATAGAATTATTCAAAAATATGCTGTAATTGCTGACGTCTTAGGCAACAAAGAAGTGTGTGTTTACGTTTTGTTATAATAGTATAGAAAAAGAATAATGTTTGCAACGATATATGTAGAACTCAATTTAGTAATTACTATTCTACACTACTAGTAGCCCATTTTAAAATCACTTCTAAATGTAGTAGTGGTATTGAATATATTGTAAATGTACTCATTAATATTTTCAACGCGTAATTTCGCTAAACTTCAAAGCATTGTTGAATTTGACAAGTCGCGAATTTGAATATGGCTGGTTTTTTTTTTTTAACTTCGGAATTCAATACTGGCCAGAAGCCAAGCATATTATAACAGCAAGTAAAAAATAGCCAAGAAAAAAAAAAGTAAAAAATACGCAACTTCTTTTAAAATTCACCCATGTTGACAACAACATCAAACTATACGCTAATTTTTTTTTCGAATTCTAATTTCGAAATTATGTAAATGTCGTTATTCCATGCAGTCGCTCCCTTATTGCTCAAAATAACGCTTTCAAGATATGGTTAGTTCACAAAATTGCTACCATCTATACGATCCTTGTAGGTCTATACGAGAAACATCTAATGATACCCGGCTACTTTACTAGTATATAGTCGTTTTACAAACAGTCCGAGTTCACGATTATTCGGTAACATATCTAAAATGCACAATCTGTTTGCACATACATAGATTCAAAGTCACAAGTTTGAAGGGCAGACAGATACAGGGGGAGACAAAATTCTTTGTTACGAGTGTCTCACTAGGGTGAACTACCCTATGCAAGTAACGTGGAAGATTAAAGTAATACATACAGCAGTAAAACGTAACAGTTAGCATGCTTTTAACAGTGGAAGAGCCCGCTTTTACATCGTCGCACGAATTGGTCGGCTCGCCCAGTGTACTATGACCACACAGACAGGCGTAAGTGGGAGTAATTCCGCGTTTCGTCTGATGAGTGTGGAACCGGAGACTCAGTTTTAATCCCTTTTCCTTCCCATTTTTTTTATAAGAAAAAATTGGGAAGGGAAGGTGGAAATGAAAGTGTAGGAGACGGATAGGAAAGGGAAATTTCCTCTTTATTTGCGTCTCCTCCGTCAATAATGCGGATGTCTGTGCAGCGGTCGCTAGCCAGTTTGGCGGATTCAGGTGGCCGCTTGCTCGTTTGCTATCTTATAATATTAAAAAAAATGCCAACTACTGGCGCATGCGTTTACAGATGCCAGTAAAATGCCAACAAGATCGTATGAAACAAGACGTGTCATAAAGTCTTACTTCTTACTAATATTATAAATGCGAAAGTTTAGGTGGATGGATGTTTGTTAGCGTTTGTAGCCTAAACGGATGAACGGATCTCGATGAAATTTGGCATAGATGTAGAGGGTAGTCTGGAAGAACACATAGGCTACTCACTTTTTTTTTAATTCAACGCGGACTGAGTCGCAGGCGAAAGCTAGTTATAACTGAAAAATAATGTGCCAGCTAGTGAATTTAATTCTTCGTATAGACGTATAGGAACAGTTCTACATCTAATTATTTCCGGTACACGAAAGCAGAGTTAATACTTTCTTTATAATTACGTGTAAGAAAGCGGCTGAGTCATAAACTATGCGTAAACGCATAACTGTTATGGACTAGATCAAAAGCAATTTGAACAGAGAACGCGTCTTTATTTCGGTATAATAAATCTGGCAACACTGGCATAATGTTTACAGCCGTTTTAAAGTTAAATGGCAAAATAAAAAAGTCTCAGCTGTCAAAATACTCCTTACAAGTCACATTTTGGCGCGAACACAATTCGACTTTGATCTATTTTCGTCGATAACCATAAATCTAATAAACACGTATTAGTTTCGAATTAAAAAAACAATCGGTGACAATCGATAACATTTGCATTTAGATTAGCACTTATTTGTATACTGTTAAGGTTCAATTCAAATTAATATTTTCAAAGCACAGACTAAAGCAAACATTTGCCGCCGCACTGCCAAGATCGTGTTATGTTTTTTGGGTAGTTAATTTTAAATTGCGAATTGATTGTCTATGTTCAAGAAGCGAATCGGTACAAAATGCGCGTTGACATTCAGTCAGCCATCTTTGATTTTACTTGGTTCAAAATTCTTATTTATAAACGAGCTGTCACCCGCAAATTCGTTAGCGCTTTGGACCACCCGTTACGTCATTTTGAAAGCGTGGAATTAAAAAAAATAGTCTATAATGTGCCTGTCCATGTCAGCTACTCTCCAGTAAAAGTCCAGTCGGAATCGGCCCAGCCGTTGCTTAGATTACCTGGAACAAACGCGGCTTGCGGACAGACAAACAAAAAAAAATGCGATTTTCGTTATCAGCAACGTAAATACATCATCTTCCCTAAATCAGGCCTGCGGCACCACACTCACCAGACGAAACACGGAACAGCTTCCATTTCACGCCCGTTTTCTGTGTGGTCGTGGTATTACACCGGGCGTACAGGCCCATTCGTGCGAAGATGTTAAAGCGGGCACTATCACTGTTGTTAAAGGGGGCACTACCACTACAGCTGTTCCCATGCGGCTTCATCCGCATGAAATTATTACCTTTATTGTATTGTTTACATTTGTCAAATTCTCAATTGCAAATGTCAAAAATACCATTACCATAATAACCTTGCTTTCTTAATGCAGCTTGTAGTTTAGTCCCTTTCCCACATTAAGGTTTTTTCCAATATTTACCCCCTAAGTTTAATAGTGTGAAAATATATAGTCTAAAGCGTGTCGTAAGTGTAGGGGTTTTTATTTAAAGAAGAATTATTCAAAAATATGCTGGGATTTCTGACATCTTACGTCACAAAGTTATGTGTTTACGCTTTATTACATTATGCTGTTCGCATGCGGATTCATCCGCGTGAAATTATAAAAACTTTATTTTATTGTTTGCATTTGTCAAATCAATAGCAAATGTCAAAAAGACATGGCGTGACATGACAAACCTTAGCAATCTTTCTTGATGTTGGCAGCAACTTATGGTCTCTTTCCCACATTAGGGTTTTTATCTAAAGTATTTACCACCTAAGTTTAATGGCGTGAAAATATATAGCCTAAAGCGTGTCGTAAGTGTAGGGCATTTTATTAAAGAAAGATTTATTAAAAAACATGCTGTGATTTCTGACATCTTACGTCACAAAGTAATGTGTTTACGCTTTATTATAATAGTATAGATTATAGATATACTTCTATATAGAAGTATATAGTGAAGATAGATACACTAATTTCATTCAATAGAACAGTTTGAGTGATCAAAGATCAATTTACCTTAGGGACTTGACTCTTTGTTTACACGATGGCGTCCCTCTACGCTAATTGACAGAAAACGGGTTCGTTCGGAAATAAATAGATTTAATTTAGAAAAGTGAGCCACTCGTACGTGATATAACAGAAATAAGTGGTACAAGTGGGTGTTTTAATTGATTTTTTTCTACTAAACTGTGTAAAAACAATGATGGTATATGGATAGGTTACTTGGTAACGGCATTTGTAACATATATACTCTAAACTCATTATAAAGAGGAATGATTTGTATTTTTGTTTGTATTGAAATAATTCAAAAACTGGGCGGATTTCAAAAATCCTTTACCATAAAGGCTACGATATCAGTGAGTAACATAAGCTATGTATTTTTAACTAGCTGTACCCGTGCGACTTCATCCGTATAAAATTGTGAAATTTTTATTTCATTGTGTCAAATTATCAATTGCGAATGTCAAAATGACAGGACGATGACAAACCATGGCAAACTTGCTTCCTTGATGTTGGCAGTAATTTATGGTCTCTTTCCCACAATGGCGTGAAAATATGTAGCCTAAAGCGTGATGTAAGTGTAGGACTTTTTATTAAAAAAAGAATTATTCAAAAATATGCTGTAATTGCTAACATTTTAGGCAACAAAGAAGTTTGTGTTTACGCTTTATTATAATAGTATAGATTTCGAATGAAGTCGCGAGCAACAACCAGTTTACAATAAAACACGCCTTTTAATGACTATTAACTTTCTGTTATAAGTTCGAAGCTTCACCACTACTAACCTCTACAGTCAGCGCTAAAATAGCGAAGATCAGCCACAAAACACGGCTTATAACCTTATCGCAAATACTATTTTTAACGCCCTGGGCGGGTCTACATCGTCCCTCATTTTGCTATGCATTAGGGTAACCAGGCTTGTGAGACTATAATTCGATATGTAGACGCCCCTATTTGTTAATCGCCCTGGGCGAACCAACCGCGCCCCATAAAACACTGGTACTGTGCATATCTGTAGTTATAATTGTAGGAGAAACAAGAAAAAATTTCAAGATCGAATGTCTCTGCCTACCCTTGTGGATTACAGGTGTGGTGACAACCCTAACTATGTTAAATAAAATAACCTAAAGCGGTATAAAACTAAAAATTATGAATAAAAATCTATTTGTTGGTAAAGTATTATTTCATACTGAAGAAATATTTTTTTTTTTAATTTAAATAAAAAAAAAGATATTAACAATAACAACTTTAGGAGTAAATATAATAGATGAAAAAAATACTGATTAAAAAAAAATTGATCTGGAGGTGCTGGGATTTGAACCCAGGACTTTCAGCATGCGAAGCAGACACTCTACCGCTGAGTTACACCCCCTGTGATAAATACAGCGAATTTAGTCACCGTATTTTAAACTATTAACGACATATTTCATTTTTAATTTGATTTTACAAATCAAAATGTTGATTGTAATCTTAATTATGCATTTCCCTAACTATCTTTAGACATTGTGTACAAAAATAGCGATGGAAAAATTTCAAGCTGTGTAAATTTCGGATTTCAAATAACAGATGGCGCTAAAAAAAATTACTCACCCATTAATCCCAACTGAAGTCTCCTTTGCAGTTATCCCGTTGTAATGCACCCGTACTTCCACTTCACCGTCCACTAAATAGTCTGTCATAATAAAATTAATAACTTCTCGGTTCATATGTCTTCTTAAATATTTAATATCACTAAGAATTTGTTTATTATAAGTTATATTTGCTGGCTGTAAGTGCATGTGCCTTAGCCTCAAACCGTTCGTACTATTCGAGCTGTCAAATCTGACAGCTCCGTCAATGTCACTTGTCACTACGTCATTGTCACAGTTTGATGTACCGAGAAGAAGGAGTAAGAGAATCGGTGACCGGAACATTTTCTTCCACGATATTTTAGACGTCTTTTTCTTCGCTTTGGGTGATTTTAACTCCATTTTTAATCTGTTGAAAAAAAGTTTATGTTAATTACTATTGATCTACATCTTGAAACATTAATCATTTTAAACGAAGTAGAGAAACATATAGCTGTCTCTGTTTGTTATATGAAGAAAAAAGAGATGACTATATACATTTACAATATTCATATTGTACAAGACGTAAAAAAATAAAAATTGACATACAAAACCGGGATACATTACTAGTATTAAAAACAATGAAATAAAAGCATGAAATTAAATCGTGATACTTACTAAAGAAATTAAAATATATAAAAACTATGATTAATTACATTGCAAGCAATTTTAGCACTTATTTTCTTAAGTTTTGGTTATATATTTGCTTACAATGCAGATAACTGCCCTGATTCAACAAAGCGTGAGTTTGTTATCTATGTAAATCGTTTGATGGATACATCAAGGTGATTTTTAGGACCCATTTTAGATTAGAAAAATATCTTAATTACTTTATTAACAAATTTAGAACAATTTTGAATCTTTACTGTTTTTTGCGCGTGTATAATTTTGTATGTAAATTCCATTTTAATAGCCTGAAGCCTAAACTCCTGAACCGATTTTGACAAATGAGGTATCAAACGATTCGTCATCTTCCCCAGAGTGTCATCATCACCAACTCACTATACGTCCCCACCGAGGGGCTCGTAGCCTGCCCTAAGCAAGGGGTGACTAAGCCATAGTCAACCACGCTGGCCCACTGCGGGTTGGTTGACTTTACACATATCTTTGAATTTCTTCGCTGATATGTGCAGGCATCACGATGTTTTCCTTCACCGTAAGAAAGTCGGGTGAATTATGTACATATGGAAATTCGAAAAATCGACAATCACATTGGTACAGCGGGATTCGAACCTAAGACCTGTAGATTACAAGTCAAGTGCTTAAACCACTTAGCCACCGACGCTCTGTCATAGGGTACATACATCATTACAAAATAATAATGGATGTGAGAATTAAAAATCTTAAAAAAAAGAAACGAAACCGATTTCGAAATTCAATCACCGTTACTTTTTTTAATTTCTAATGTTTTAATAATTATCTAGCTGTTCTCATGCGTCTTCATCCGCATAAAATTATAAAAACTTTATTTTATTGTTTACATTTGTCAAATTCTCAATTGCAATTCAAAATTACCGTTACCATAATAACCTTGCTTTCTTAATGTTGGCAGCTTTTAGTTTATGGTCCCTTTCCCACATGAAGTTTTTTTTCTAATTCATTTACGCCTTAAGTTTAATAGCGTGAAAATACATAGACTAAAGCGTGTAAGTGTTGTGCTTTTTATTAAAGAAGGAATAATTCAAAAATATACTGCGATTGCTGACATCCTACGCCACAAAGTAGTGTGTTTACGCTTTATTACATTAAGTATAGATTTAAAATATTCTGGATGAACACATAGATTATTTAATTTTTTTTATTCGTGTACGGAGTTACGGACGAAAGCTAGTCTGTCGTACAATTAATTCTTAGAGTTTCTTGTACGCAATCGATTACATCAGCTTCCAAAAGGGTTCTGTTCGTAGAAATGCCACATCTAGTTGCACGCGATTTGCCGGTTTATTAGAGCTTTGTTTATTGTCCTACTGACTCATGTATTCCTGGTACTTTTTGCAATAATATAGAAATAAAACGGGATGTTTTGCCCTACTAGTAGGGTATTGTGTCCGGAATGTATAGTCTATACTAATATTATAAAGAGGAAAGATTTGTATTATATGTATTGAAAAATTAAAATATACTGGGCCGATTTCAAAATTTCTTGCACCATTAAAAAGCTACGTTATCAGTAACATCTTACTAATATTATAAATGCGAAAGTTTAGATGGATGGATGGATGTTTGTTAGCGTTTGTAGCCTAAACGGCTGAACGGATCTCTATGAAATTTGGCACAGGTTTAGAACATAGACTGGAAGAACACATAGACTACTTTTTATTCCGTAAATAGTTACGGTTCCCGTGGGATTCATTAATTTAGTTTTTTTTTTTATTTACTCGATCATTCTGCAAAGGTTTAACATATCTTATTGAAATTTGGCACAGATATAAAACAAAGTCTGGAGTACACATGGGATAAGCTTCATCCCCGAGAAATGTCCGGTTCCCGAGGGATACGTAGCTTTTTGTAATTTATATAGTTCGTATTTCTAATAGCACGCGTACGAAGTCGCGGGCAACAGCTCGTAGGCTATATTTTTATTCACGCGGATGAAGTCGCGAGCAATAGCTACAGTACTAATATTATAAAGAGGAAAGATTTCTATTTTTGTATATTTGTTTTACGTAAAAACTACTAGGCTCATTTAAAAAAAATCTTAAATCATCATCATCATCTCCCCTGCCTTATCCTATTCCCGTACGGTGGGCGCACCTGGTTAAAAATTTCAAAATTAAAAAAAAAAGAGAGCGTCGGTGACTCAGTGGTTTAAACACTTGACTTGTAATCTACAGGTCTTGGGTTCCAATCCCGCCGTACCAATGTGATTTTCGATTTTTCGAATTTTCATACGTACATAATTTACCCGACGTTCTTACGGTGAAGGAAAACATCGTGATGCCTGCACATATCGGCGAAGAAATTCAAAGATATGTGTGAAGTCAACCAACCCGCAGTGCAGCGTGGTTGACTACGGCCTAGTCACCCCTGATTAGGGTAGGCTCCGAGCCCCTCGGTGGGGACATATAGTGAGCTGGTGATGATGATGATGAAAAAAAAATGTTAAAAATATTCATTACATTATTATGAAAATATTAAAAAATTATTTTTATTTATTTATTATTATTATTTGGGTTATTTTAAAAATTCTTTCACCACTAGACATGTATTTTATCTGTGAGTAGCATAGCATATACTTTTTTTTTAATTTCACGTGGACGAAATTGCGCACAGCTAGTGTATGATATAGTAATGATTTGTACCATGAAGATTTTTTTTTAATTAATCTCTATAGTCGGTAATATTTATCTGGCCCGGTGATGATAGAAAGTAAGTCATAGAAAATTCCATACAAGTGCTGACAAGGGCGCTAATGAGTTATTATTACTTAGTTTCACTTACGGGGTCAGTTAAGTTAGACGATATAATACCTTTACCGTGACTTACATTATTACTAATTCTCGATTAGCTAGTTCTCGATATTTTTTATATAAACATTTGTTCCGAAGTATACACTGCGTTTCAATATGACCGTATTTTTTTTTATAAACATTTGTACCAAAGTGTACATTGAGTTTGAATATGACCGTATTTCTTTCTATAAACATTTGTACCGAAGTGTACACTGCTTTTCACTATGACTGTTTTTTTCTATTAAGTTTTGTACCGAAGTGTACACTGCGTTTCAATATGACCGTATTTTTTTTTTATAAACATTTGTACCAAAGTGTACATTGAGTTTCAATATGACCGTATTTCTTTCTATAAACATTTGTACCGAAGTGTACATTGCGTTTGAATATGACTATTTTATTCTATTAAGGTTTGTACCCAAGTGTACATTGCGTTTCAATATGACCGTATTTTTTTTTATAAACATTTGTACCAAAGTGTACATTGAGTTTAAATATGACCGTATTTTTTTCTATAAACATTTGTACCGAAGTGTACACTGCGTTTCAATATGTCTGTTTTTTTTTCTATAATCACTTGTACGGAAGTGTACACGCAATGCCTTTGTATATGACTGTACACACCGTTATTCTGTGACGTCACACCGCGTGATCGAACATTTAGGTAAAGTTATCGTTACACGAATCGAGCCCTCGATTTAAGGCGCCTATAGATGTAGTCAAAGAGATACAAATGTATATAGAGTAGACACACTTGAAAAAATTTTTAAACATCATACTAATATTATAAATGTGAAAGTTTAGATGGATGGATGGATGTTAGAGTTTGTAGCCTAAACGGCAGAACGGAATTCGATGAAATTTGGTATAGATGTAGAGGATAGTCTATACTCTACATATCGGCTATACTCACTTTTGTTTTTTTTTAATTCCACGCGGACGGAGTCGCGGGCGGAAGCTAGTCATTAATAACGCTATCAGTTGATAGCCTCAAAAACATATTGTATTTTTTTATTGCAAATAGACGTTACTAAATCTTACTAATCTTACTTCTTACTTCTTACTTCTTCAGCTTTCTTCAGCTAAACGGCTGAACAGATCTCGATGAAATTCGGCACAGACGTAGAGAAGAGCCTGGAGGAACACATAGGCTCCTCACGTTTAGATGGATGGATGGATGTTTGATAGAGTTTGTAGCCTAAACGGTTGAACGGATTTCGATGAAATTTGGCATAGGTGTAGAGGATAGTTTGGGAGAACATATAGGCTATACTCACTTTTGGTTTTTTAAATCCACGCGGACGGAGTCGCGGGTGAAAGCTAGTAATATTTAAATGTTTACATTTTACTACCTTTTGCCCGCGACTCCGTGTGGAATCAAAAATTATAAAAGCCTATGAGCCTCTTCCAGACTTTTCTCTACGTCTATGCCAAATTTCATTGAAATCTGTTCAGCCGTTTATGTTACAAACGCTAACAAACATCCATCCATCCATCTAAACTTTCGCATTTATAATATTAGTATGAAATGAAGTATGATTTTAAAACAAAAAATTAGAGTTTGTAATAATTTTGTAAAATGTTTTCTTTTTGTATGTATTGATATAACTCAAAAACTACTGATACTCAAAAACTAAAGATAATTTATCTGTGAGTAACATAGGCTATACTTTTATAATTGCACGCGGGCGAAGTCGCGAGCAACAGCTAGTCTTACTAATATTATAAATGCGAAAGTTTAGATGGATAGATGGATGGATGGATGTTTGTTAGTGTTTGTAGCCTAAACGGCTGAACGGATCTCGATGAAATTTGGCATAGACGTTGAGGATAGTCTGGAAGAACACATAAGCTACTAACTTTTGTTCTTTTGAACACCACGCGGACGGAGTCGCGGGCGAAAGCTAGTTTATAACAT